AATCTTTTCAATTCAGTTTGACAATTCACTCACAATATAGGGAACTTTAGCTCCTTTAAAAGTATTATCAGTACAAGACAGTTACAGTTGTAGTCTTGCTCTGATACTACAACTATGTAATCTTAGAAGCTCAAATTAAAAAGAATTAGCGGTAGTCATATTTTCTTCTGTCAATATAATCAAGTCTTTATTGCTGAGCTAAAGGATACAACTCTCAACCTTTTGTTCTCTCTGGTGTTTCAAGGAACATTAAAATTTCATGTAGAATAAGTAGTTGGAACAAATATTGTCTCCTGTCTGAAAAGCTAATGTAGATCAGTCAATACAAAGAATGACTGTGATTCAACTGGCTTGTGCCGAACATCTTAAGAAATTCTTCCACTGCTCAGAGAAAGGAAATACTTCTAAAATACATAATACTTTAAGGTCTCAGTGTTACTGCACAATTCTTTTTACAGAGCATTTTGCAGGGTTTTTCTAGGTTCAGCTCTGAGGTCCAAAGACCCCATGGAGGCTGTTCAACACGATGCTCTCTCCTTGGTCGACACTGCAGAGATTTCTTTTTTTTTTTTTTCCTTAACATAGCAGCTCACTTCCAAGTTTTCTGGTCTTTTCATAAAGTCTCTAGAAACATTCTCCAAATGTTTCATAAATTTAATCAATCTGTTATACAGCAATATAAGATCTCCAGAATAATGTCTTTGCCAGAGAGACAAAACTAGGTTTAACACAAACAGAAAGAAATGCCACTATAATAAATCTCTACATGCTATTCAACGGCCTCTTTTATTCTTTTTTTTTCAGGCTTTGATTACTTGTCTCTGTAATTTTGAGATGCCTGTATACTTTACATTTCACTGAGCAGTTAACAAGCTGTTCTATCCACTCATTTCTCTGAAGTATATTGCTTAGCTTTATCTTGAAGATTTTAACTTCCTTATTGTTCTTTCATTCTTTATCTCGCGCAATACCCAATGCTACATTTGAAATCATTTTGCCTATTTGCTCAACAGAATAGGGATAGCAATAAATGTCTTTCAACATTCATCTTTTTTTTTATATCTGCCTCTCTGATTAATAGCCTACTGTACATTTCTCAATGTTTTAGCATCTGAAAGTCTGCCTCAACCTATGTTCATACATTTTCTCTGGGACTTAGAAATACAATTTTTATACCACATTCAATACATGAATAAATATTAGTAATTTATGCTCATACATTTATGCTCCTGTTAAAAATTAGTTGCCCATCAAAAACAAAGTGAGATTTCAGAAGTACTAATTTGGAAAAATACCATTATCAACTATTCTATGTCATTTTCCATCAGCAGAAAGCACCAATGTGGCACGCTGGCATAAAGCAGCCCATTTCAACCACTGCATATGTATGTGTAATTGGACAATATTTTTGTTATTAGTCATTCTCTCTGTCTCTGTGAGGCTTCATGCTTTGCTCTGAATTTCCACCAAAAATTCCCTCATTTCCTGATATAAATTATCATTTTGCCTCACATAGTTAAATTTAAGATGTACAAGTGAGTAGCCTGTTAAAACATAGGAGTACATCCTAAAGAATGACCTCTTGAAATTGAATTACCAGTGAATGCTGAAATTGAGTTTTCAATGTGCAATGAGTAACAAGATTCAAGCTCTTGATTTAGGGTGCTCACTCTATTGACATAAATACACTGCAAAGCCTGAAAAGGCTATCAGGAGTATGATGATGGGAACAAAAAGAATCATTAGTTCACCTACACATGTTTCCAAGCTGAATGATAGGTTAACACACTTGAAAGAATAGGAAAAAGAGGAAAAATCTTCCAATGAATTAGGATGAAAGGACTTGAAATATATTAAGATTGTTTGCATCAAAACTGAAATGAAGTGGCAAGAGGCCTCAGACATCTATTTCAGTTAAGAGCAAATGGCACTTGTTAGAACAGGACAAATTTCAAAATACTGGCCAGGACACTTTATCCAACCTTGAACATGGTCTTAACTGTGTAAGATGGAAAAGATAGAAAGCATATTGGTTTTATCTTTTGCATAAAGATAACAATATAAGATAAAAGCAGAAATACCTGAAGAATCCATTGAAATCCTCCAAACTAGGGAGGAGCAGACACGAGATACTAATGATATTGATGATTCATGCCTAACCAACGCTCTGTTCTGCGGCTGAGAGTTTGAAATGTAACTACGTTATTTTGTAATAACAATGCATAGGTGATACTCACCATTCTGCAAGAAGCAGCCATAAGCTGCCAGACATATCAATTGACAGTTTGGCTGTGGTTGAGCTGAGGTACCAGAATTTAAAACCTAACAGGAAGGAGCTGCTTTAAGAGGTGAACATATTTAGTGGCTTTATTGTTTGGAATAAAATACTGCTTGATACTTTATCTGGTACAAAGAGAAAATACTATTGACACCCTGAATTTTCACAATGGCGAAAAAAGACCAAGAACGGCATTTTCAAGCCGTTTGCCTTGGTGCAACCACAACACCGTTTAAAGATAAAACCAAAATATCAGGGATTGGCAGAGATACTGACAATAGGAGAGATCTCTCTCTGGTATCAGAATCGGTAGGAAAAAAAATTGTTCAAGTATAACCCTTGAACTGTAAATATCTGTTGTAAATTAATCTTCTGTTTCCTTGAAACTGAAGTGCCTTCTCCACTATCAATATTTGAGATTGTCTCCTACCATCTATGAAAGATTTCTAACCCTGTTCCTCCATAGCTGTATCCAACGGTGAGTTACCTTCCAGACAGACACAGTTTTGCAACACGCCGTTTCGGTCGTTTGTTACTATCGAACAGAATCAGTTACCATTTTCCATCTGTAGAGACTGGGCACCCTAGACATATGCAAGCTGGAGGTATTGCCATTTTTGGCATGAACATGCTCATCAATCACAGTTTATTTCAAATCTGGAGAAAAATCACCTTTACAGGATTCTCAGAGATCGTCACTCAAAGACACACACAGACATAAATAAATCCATCATAAAGAAACTACAGGGGGTGAAAAAAAGAACGGTTCTGCCTTTAATAACTAGACTATCATTTGACTTTGCGTATAACTGCAATATCATCTACAGGTAAGCTTATTGCACCAAGTCAGAAAACCTCAGAAAGAATGTTTTGCCACCTACATCTACCATCTTCTCCTTGACTAGGACCAAATATCTCAAATTTGACACTACAGTCAACAATCTTTAAGCCTTAAAAAGATGATGTTCATTTAGTTCCTGAAGCACTTTTTAAAGGAAGTTCAGCCTACCATGACATACAATGGCTTCTCTATGTTAAAAAGGACAGCTAAGTGTTCAATTACAGACCACACCTCCTCCCCACGATTCAGGTCTACTTTTATGAGAATCTTAAGAAAGAACAATGGTATTCCCTATTTCATTTGCATGCTATGAAACCACTGACCCTGCTGTTCAGTAGAGAAGACTTCTATTAGTCTTTCTTCTTCAGCTCCCTGCCAGAAAGAAAACAATGTTTTTGTTCTACAGTAAATTTGCAGAGTAACCTCTGATCATCTGGAATGAACACCCTTTGAACTGGTACTATTTCCTATTTGCATCACACATTTTGATGTTCTGTAAGTTGCCCACGCTAAAGACAGTATATCAAAATCACTTACTGACAACACCAGAATACTGTATACCAGTGCAAGGCAGGGAGGGGGAGGAAAGAGTACTATGGAAAATCTCCTAACTTTTAAAAAAGTTACATAGGTATTCTTTATCGTAAGTATTTACAATTTTTGCAATCTAAAACAGGAATCATCTTCCTTCATAGAACTGTGCTTTGAGTATCTCTTCATATCCTTATCAAGGAAAACCAGCCATCACACAAGCATGACAGATGGAACAAATCCCTTACAAAGGTTTTCACGCTGACACTGTAACTCTGAAACTCACAGTAAATTTCTTTTCAAAGTAGCCTCAGACTCTGCAGTCTCGAAACGTACTTACTAATGTTTCTCTTTTAAGAACTTATTCATGTGAGGGAAGCCTGTGGTATAGATCCTACAGAACCAAATTCTCTTCTCAAACATCAGTGACAAATCCAAAGGAACAACTGCAGCACAGGAATTAGATTGTTAATTGCACAATAATGCTGTGTTTCCTTAATAGAGCAACTCCCCTAACTATTTCAGAGCTCCCCTGTTAGAGCCCTCATACCTGAAATGCCTCTGCCTACATCTCTTACCTGTTATTCTTAGTACACCAAAGTCAGAGATAGAGTTTGAATCAGCAATCTTATCTTTTTCAGATCCCTTCTGTCACCCTCAAGAGCAAACAGACGGCTAACTATGATGAGTAGGATCTACCCACATAGAAATTAAAAGGAAAACAAAGAACTACTCACTTTACAGTCACTGCTGCACTTTGAGCTGCTCTGTGCATGAGGTGTTGGCTTGCCTTAAGCTTCCACTGGTAGAGTACAGCTCTGGTCTCCACTGGCAGAGCACAGCTCTGGTCTTAACTGAGCTCTGAACGGCAGCTGGGAGAACGCCGTTCTGCATGGCTCAGGATAAAGTAAAGGCAGAGGCTGCACATGCCTTTCTGTGCCCTTTCATGAATGTAAAAATTACTTCAGGCTTCTACACAGAAGGTACAGGCACACACATCCTGACCCACACCGAACAGCTTGAAGACCAACTTAGCTCTACTGCTTCCTAGTACACAACTGTCTTTTTCACAATCCTGAAATGAGCTATTGGTTTTATTTAATTCAACTATATGTTATTCATATTTACATAAACAAAAAAAATCATATTTTTTGTATACAATGTTCCTCTTGGTGCTTCAAAAATGTTACAGATGTTCATACCAACAAATGGTAATGCAATCGGTGACAAATGAAAAATACAAATGAATAACACTTCAATGAAAGACTAGCACATCCAGCAGCTTAGTAATGCACAGCACATCCAGCCTAGGTAACATCCTAAAAGAAAAGAGAAAAAGATTTCCATTACCTTAGAAGTCCTTATATCCCAAGCTTTAACTTCCGAACTGAACCCTCCACAAATGAAAATATTTGACTCTGTAGGGTGGAACTTCAGTGTGCTGATCCTAAAATCATTTTTGCTGCTAAATATCTGCTTCCCTAAAATAAAGTGAGAAGTGAAGATTAAAATTTGAGCAGAAAATGAAATATGTTATTCACTCCAACCTAGTTTCCAAACTATCAAGGTTGTCAAAGTTGAACGTTTACACTAATACATTTCAAGTATCTGGGGCTACTCTGATATAATGAAAATACAAGACTGAACTCACTAATTTCTATCCATGTGAAACTGCTGCTGCTCATGGGCCTCTGCACCACTGACTGCTTCCTACTGAAAGGAGTGAACAAGTGGTTTCCCACACTAAGGAGAGGAGCTCCACCAAGGTCCCAGTTCGGTCAACACGCAAAGACTAAACCTACAAATCTAATGGTTGCATGTTTCTCTACAGAAAAGCCATAGACTTTCTTTCAGTGGGATAAAAATAACTAGAACAAAATATTGTCTGTACAGAAATATCATTTCCCAAACTATACTACAACTCTTGAGTTGTTTACTTGTCTCTCTGTGAAGGCAGGAGTGAAGCTTCATCTTGAAAGTGGGAAATAATTTGCATACCATCATATGAAGGCAATAGCTGTTCCCATGGATACACTGTTCCCAGCATTTAATTGTGCACGCTAATCTCCACAGGATCCTGTGGTTAGTTATCAATTGGATTCTCAACACTTTCAAAGGCAACAGAACTCAGCTAGGTTAATTTACAGGACTTTTCCACAGTCCATTGCTTCCTTTCTTTCTAACAAATTCATGATATTAACCTATACTCATTGAAATATCATTTTTGGAACAGCAGCATGGACCAAGATAAATACATTTACTTAGTTTCATAATTTCAACTGTTCTTGATATTCTGCATATCACATATAAAGATCTAAGTTAAATAAAGTTACTGCTTTAAGCCACAGTGAAGAAGGCACTGCAGAAGTCAAAAAGAATCCTTAAAGTACTATGACAAAAGCTTCTTAAAATATTCATTAAGCTACATTACCAGCAAGTGAGAGTTGTTTTAAGATAGGCTTTCTTAAACAACTGAAAATACTTTGAGCTAAAAACATTAGTGATGAGTATAAATACTTATTATTAGGTGAATAATACTGAAAAACATTCATATAGATTTTTTATGCTTATTTTATGATTTGGTTAGCCAATTTACTTGATTTCATCATCAGTTCCATTTTCCCCATCTGCTGAACTCAGCTTCTACAGTCAAGAGGCTGAGGCTTGTCATATTATTTATTTCTTCATTTTAAAGAAAAGAGAGAAATTTTACTTCATTACAGGTGCTCTTCGAGCCAGCAGAGTCCGGGAAAATAGACTGCAAGGAGCATAAGGGAGAGATGAGTGTTGTTCTACATAAAAACAGTTTTTTGCAGGTTTCTTTTTGTTGTTTTTTTAATGGTTTCTCCACTGATTACCCATGCAAGATCTAAAGGGCCTCTCTGTCACTACTGAGTGAAAGATTTAATTTAGTCCATAAGTTCCTTACTCAAAAAGAGAAAAAAGTCACAAGGGCAGCAGAGGCCCTCTCTACAAGTCATTTGCAACAGTCACCATCTCTCACCGTGGGAGTTTTCAGTACCCCAACAGCTACAGAAGGGAAAAAAGACTCCACAGGGAAGGAAGAAAGTATTAAAATCATCAGTTATAGGAGCAACAAGATACCGCTTTTATGTATGGCACTACCCGGCATCACTTGCAGGCCACACGCACAGGCATCTTACCCTTGTCCTCAGCACTTGAGAAAAACACTGAATTTCCCCATGGAGGCTCACTAGTCAGTTTAATAGCACTTTGCTCCCAAGGAATCTGATTCCTACTAGTACCTAGTTTAATAAACACTCTGTGAGTACAATCAACAAGTTTTTAATGGTACTGCACTCAGAAATTAGCAAAACTGCAGCCTGCCTCTACTATTTCTGTCAAACAGCCTCACGAAGGACGCATCCAGGCAGTCATAGCTCTCCACACTAAATGGCATTACACGTATACGTAAGTGATCCAGTGGAACTCATCATCTAACCTTCCAACAAACATTAGTTGCTCAACTGACTTTACTGAGACTTGTTTTTACCTCAAGACTTCTGAAAACTGCTTCTTCTATAATGCATACATTTTTCTTGTCATTGTGCTCTCTACAAATTCTCTAAGAGCCTTAGACATCAGAAAGCCAGGTAAGACACTATGAAAAAAATGTGTGCACTAAATTTAAGATGCTTTTCATCTACTAACTACAAGATCTGTTACCTTTTACACAGAAAGAAGATTGATTTAACATAATTTGTGATTCATTAGTCCATCTTTCAATCTCATCCCCAGCTACTTCCAAGTAATTCAATCATTTGCTCAGTATTTTCTCCAGAAACTAAAATACTCTAATTCTCTACTCCATCTCCCCCTACTTTAAGATAGAAGTGAGCACTGTGTTTGCCATTTTCTTGTCTTCTAGAGTCTGTTATTTATCAAAAAGCCCTCATAGCACTGAGATCATTACAGTGTAGTTCTATGAATTCTACCTTGCAGCATAATACTAAATAAAATTAAGGCAAACGACTTGAGCATCTTATTCACCTCTATATTCTTTAACCCCTTTCCTTTTCCTGTTTTCACTTGTTTGATGCAGACATTAACCATGCTAGCTTTTTGACTGGACTGAGGAGCAATCAGGACGCATTAATCTTAAAAGCTCAGGCTTCCCAATTAGTACTGTGAAATACAACTCTCTCATTCTCTCATTCCCCCAAGTGAAAGTCAATCAAATGTTTCTTTTGCAGGGCTGAAAGGCTAAGGCACATTCTCTACACAGTTATGAAACCTCTCTCACCAGAAAGCTTTCAGAACCTCTGAAACTCAGAAAAAATATCCATGTAAGAGATGGAAAAGATCACTGCGGAAGATGATGCGGGGCAAAACAGCTCATGCAATTCACTATATTAAAACAAGTAATTCAACTCTTAGCCCCTTTCCATACAAAGCTTATTTAGTGTGCTTTACTACCATGAGCAGAATTTGCTGCTTCCCATGTTGTAACCATGCTGTGATGGAACCTAGTCCCATGCTTGGGGAAATCCAGCTTCAGTGTTTGCTGGAGATCCTGCTCCACCCTTCTGGCAGTTAAGTATACTTTTGTCTACAATTACTCAGTTTATTAACATCAAACATATTCAACTTTTCAGGCCTTATTTTATAAATTGCAAAACATTCTCTGAGCAGAAGACTCCCATATCAATAATAAAGTACAATGGGTGTAAATCAGTAAGCCCGTATGTGTCTTTTTTGTGTACATATTTATTGTATTTTAGTTCCTAAAGGCAGCATAACAAAGATTCAGCCAACTCACAGGCTATAGAAAAATCCATCTTCTGAAAATCTGTTTGGCTAATTGAGGCAAAATCCATACCACGTATCATTTTCCTGTATGAGACGTTGTTGTTACAAAGCAGAAAGCAAATGTTTCTCTCCATCTTTAACTTTCACAATTTCAGTAACAATATCAACTACATCTTTGCAGTGTGTTTTATATTCTTAAAGTGCTTTAATTCAATTCTTCATTCATTAAAGGCTCACCACTAACACACACAGTATGAAAAAAAAAATCTTTAAAAAGATCTTGAACATATGTTTCTGCTCCATTATGCTGCAGCCTACTGTGAAACTGCTCAACTATGAAATCAGATATTTTAAAGGCTATTTAACATTGTGAAATCTTCCACAGAACATCAGCACAGTTATTGAGCACAGGATGCTTCTGTAACTGTGTTTAGTGGTCCACAGGTTCACACTCCTACCTGCATAATCCAAAAACCTTCACTTCCTTACACTAATCTGTAAAGAAAAGTGAAGCCTAAGACTTACAAGGACATGAGAGTAATGTTGCTAAGCAGAACAGATTTCCGTACTGGGTTTACAAAAAGACACGAGACAATATATTTAAAAAAAATCTCAGTACAGTCACAATCTTTCTCACACACAACAGTGAGAAGAAAATTAGATTGATCAGACATAATTTGTTCTTAACAAATCTATGTCGGCTGTTACTTATCCATTTTATCTTGTACTTAAAAATTGCTTTATTATTTTTCCAAGAACTAAAGTTATACTGACTATATGTGTTTCCTAAATATTTCCCCTACATAGTCACAAGTTTCTGGCATGCAAAGGTGTTATATTAAATCAAAGGTGAAATATTAAATCAATTTATCTTTTACCCAAAATAAACATTTTTCTCTCTTCTTATTGCAAGGACTCTTGAATAGTGAGTATAAAATGTAAAATGCTGTTACCTCCTAGCTGGAGAGTGACCACTACACTATGTTCAACATATTACTTAAAACTGCAGAATTTTGGGGGCAATCTTGTGACCTCACATCAAAGATGGATGTATGAATTCAAAAGACAATCCCAAGCACAAGCACAGGCTGGGCGGAGAATGGTTTGAGAGCTGCCCTGAGGAAAAGGACTTGGGAATGCTGGTGGATGAGAAGCTCAACATGAGCCGGCAATGTGCGCTGGCAGCCCAGAAAGCCAACCGTATCCTGGGCTGCATCAAAAGAAGTGTGGCCAGCAGGTCAAGGGAGGTGGTTCTGCCCCTCTGCTCTCGTGAGACCTGGAGCACAGGCTGGGCGGAGAATGGTTTGAGAGCTGCCCTGAGGAAAAGGACTTGGGAATGCTGGTGGATGAGAAGCTCAACATGAGCCGGCAATGTGCGCTGGCAGCCCAGAAAGCCAACCGTATCCTGGGCTGCATCAAAAGAAGTGTGGCCAGCAGGTCAAGGGAGGTGGTTCTGCCCCTCTGCTCTCGTGAGACCTGGAATACTGCATTCAGCTCTGGAGTCCCCCACACAAGAAGGACATGGAGCTGCTGGAGCGGGTCCAGAGGAGGGCCACGAAGATGATCCAAGGGCTGGAACACTTCTCCTATGAAGACAGGCTGAGAGAGTTTGGGTTGTTCAGCCTGGAGGAGAGAAGGCTCTGGGGTGATCTTATTGCAGCTTTCCAGTACTTAAAGGGGGCCTACAAGAAAGCTGGAGAGGGACTTTTTA